AGGTCACCTTAATGAATTATCATCTAAACAGAAGATCATTATCATTATTATTCCACTGTTTGATTCTCCCAGCAACCACCCTTAGCTGACGCCCTGTTCTGCCATAAAATAATTAAATTATATTATAATCATAAACAGCCTAATTTAAGCCAACCAAGCATTTCATCAAATTGGATCATGGTGGTAACCCAAAGCCATGAACTTTATAAATCAATCATCAACTGATAAACAATGCAATGATTAACTCCCAGAGCTGGTGTCCCCAAAGCTTTTTTCATGGAAACATGCTGAAGGTAGGTGGTATTGAGTAAGATAATTGAGGAGGGGGAATGACTGGTGGAGCATGAACCTAGTTTGTACTTACAGATTGCTGCTGGCACAATTAAGAACATATTTTGAAATTAGGAAGTGGGAAAATCATACCAACATACCCTAAGATGGACAGTATATATTTTCCTCTCTCTTGTGTGCATTCAGTGAATTTATTATTAGTAATACAACCCATTTGGACACTATCCACAAAAGAATGAATATGGTGTAGTGGTTAACATTTTGATCTAGGGATGGCGATTTAGAACTAGTAATTCTCTCTCTTCTCTTTTTCTCGGAACTTTATTGCATGAATCCACTATTCCACCACAGTTGTACTATCATTGATAGCAGATACATACCAGGTTGGAGCCCTTCAATATTGCTTCTCTTTTCAATAGTGAAATTGCACCGATTAATCTATATTGGTTCCCGTTTTTATTGTATTTTAAAGTTGGTTGTATTGTTTTAATCTACTGCTGTAAACCGCTCCGAGCCAAATTGGGAGTGGTGGTATACAAGTCTAATAAATAAATAAATAAATAAATAAATAAATAAAATAATTAATTGGTGGTTCTGTGCAATCCCACTTTCCCACACTAATACTGTTACTTATTATTATTTGCAAGCAATCTTACTATTTTAGTTCTGGAAAACAAAAAAATCAAATATAACTGTAAAATCTACATACATACATACATACATGCATGCATAATAAAAGTGAAAATATGTATGTGTGTATGTGGATGGGGTGCCCACTTCCACAGATAGACTCCCACTTCCACAAACAGCTTTAACCCACAGTGCTGAGAAGCCAACAAAAGCCCGCCCTCCCAAGACATTTTAGGACATAGCGAGCACCATGAACATATAGCTCAACCCCTGCCAATGTCCTTCCCAAGCACCATACTGCCCACTTTCATTCGGGCACAATTTCATCCTAGATTTTATGTGTTTCCTCCACCACAGACATCCCAGTGTTTCTTATTCCCTCCCTTGGTGTGAAATTTGTATGATCCCACCCACTGCCTCTCCCCTAACCCTTTCCTACTCTTTTCAACTCTTTCTGCACAATAAACAGAGCAGAACTAATCAGCAACTAAACGTACTTGAGGATTTTGGGGGATTGATTCCACATGATGGAAGTTGTAGTTCGCCCTACATCAAGTCAGATCACTGTGACCCCTACTTACAATGGACCTGGATCACATTTGACACACAGAATCCCATGACCTAAGAAAGCTATTGGGATTTATAGTTCACCTACAACCAAAGAGCACTCTGATCCTACCAATGATGGCCCTGGACCTAACTTGGCACATAGAACCACCACGACCAACTGAAAATACTGGAGGCGTTTGGGAGAGCTGACCTTCATTTCTGGAAGTTGCAGTTGACTTACATCTAGAGACACTGTGACCACCACCAATGATGGATCTGAACCAAACTTGGCAAACAGAACTCTGATGACCAACTGAACCTACCGGAGGGATTTGAGGGGACTGATCCACCATGGTGGGAGCTGTAGTTTATCCTGCAGACAGAGAACACACTGAACCCCATCAATGATGCATCTAGAGCAAACTTGCCCAACACGGCAATCTTTAACTATTGCTGGAGTTTCAGGGGGTTAACCTAGCATGATGTGAGTTGCAGTTTACCCACAACCTTAATGGCTTTTTCAAATAACCTGAGTAATGCTGGGTCCCCAAATTAGTATAAAATGAAAGGAAAATAAACAGCTTGGGAATGGGGGGGGGGAGTGAAGAAGAATCTTGATTGCGAGGTTCTACATTCATGTGATTCTGGTTACTTGACACCATTACAAACATTTTGGGAATTAATAAAAATGGACAAATTGATTATGCTGATAGAGGAGAAACCTCTATCCAATTTTAGGAAAATTTGTAATGTATTCATTGCCTGTTAATAACAGTGATGGGTTCATTTATCAATGTTAGGATTCATGAATTAGAAGAGTTTGGTTTAAAGTGGAAATGTGATTGTATTATTGTTTAAAGGGAGTAGACTAATAAGGAATACTAACCATCAACATTGAAACTGAAATACAACACCACCTGAACTCTGCGAGTGCAGCATTTTTCCAAATGAAGCAGAGAGTGTTTGAGGATCGGGACATCCGTAGGGATACCAAGGAGCTTGTTTATAAAACCATTGTCCTCCCATCCCTGCTATATGCCTGAGAAACGTGGACTTTCTACAGACATCACATGCAACTCCTGGAACGATACCATCAGCGTTGCCTCCAAAAAATCCTGCCAATTTCTTGGGAAGACAGGCAGACAAATGTCAGCAAAGAAGCAAAGACCACCAGCATTGAAGCAATGCTCCTATGCCATCAACTCTGCTGGACTGGCAACATTGTCCAAATGCCTGATCACTGTCTCACAAAGCAGTTACCCTACTCCCAACTCAAGAATGGGAAACGTAATGTTGGTGGATAGGAAAAGAGATTTAAAAATTGGCTTAAAGCCAACCTTAAAAACTGTGGCAAAGACACTGAGAACTGGGAAGCCCTGGTCCTTGTTCGCTCTAACTGGAGGTCAGCTGTGACCGGCAGTGCTGCAGAATTCGAAGAGGCACGAATGGAGGGCGAAAGGGAGAAACGTGTCAAGAGGAAGGTGCATCAAGCCAACCCTGACCGGGACAGTTTTCCACCTGGAAACCAATGTCCTCACTGCAGGAGAATATGTGGATCAAGAATAGGGCTCCACAGCCACCTACGGACCCACCGCCAGGACACCATATCTGGAAGACCAACATCCTTGAGTTACGAGGGATCGCCTAAACATACTAACACTAACCATCAGTTAGAAAGTAAGAAGTTTGTAATTTTTTAATAGTTGTTTAATTGTAGTAGTGTATATAACATGTAGCTGTGTAGTCAAGGTAGTTTTGTATATCTTTATTATGTGTTTTCCTGTAATAAAAAATATTTATATAAGAAGTTGTTGTATGCAAGTGAAGCATCAATTGCAAACAACGCATTCTGTCCAATTTGACAGGGTCAATCTCAGTTAATCGTCTGTCTTCCCACTTTTTCTAATGCTTTATAAATGTCCCAGTTTTCCTCTCTTCCTTCCACTTTCTCCTTTTATTTTCAAATTGCTTCCAATGATCCAAAGTGAATTCAAACTTCAAAAGTAGTTTGTGTTCAGTCAACTTAGTAGAAGGGAGATGACAGGAGGGAGATGGAATCTTGTGCCTTATGGTAAACTCAAGCAAAAAAAAAAAACTGCTGCAGCCGCTCCTCACTTGTGCATTCTCCCTTATTAACAGTTTTTACCATTTGGACCACTCTCTGTTGTTGCCTGGTGACATATATCCTGGCTTTCATCTGTGAAATGCTCATAATGGAGACTTAATCACAGTAGGTCAGAGATCATGATCAGCGATGTTTGTTTTCCTGATCTGTTTTTGAGAGGGAATGAGAGATGTTTGGAAGACAGAGAGGGAAACTGAGGAGTTTCTTTTCCACAGTCCCAGGAACCTTAAATATTAGGAAGGACATGAAGGGCAAACATGAGATTATTCCCATTTTTTAGCTTCAGAGAATGTTTGCCCAGAAATCAATGGGTAATAAACATGCACAGCAAACTTCCTGTTAATTTAGGTTGAAATCCCCAAAGCGAGTATCCTCTCCAAAAAGGAGAAAGGCATTTTGGCCTTCTTTTAAGGAATTGAATGCTCCTAATGTGTCTTCAAAACTACTAGGATTGGAAGCTTAGCCTCTGGAGTAGACATCCAAAGGACCCTTGAACTCATTTCTATAAAGATCAATAAAAGCCTACGTAGAAAATGAATGTATATTCTAGAAAGGGTTTACTTTCCCATTTCAGATGGAGGAAACTTTTAGTGATGTCACCCTTCCCATAAGAGAGGTGTATACGGGCCTTCTACACCATCATATAATCCAGAATATCAAGGCAGATAATTCATGTTGCCGTTGGACCGGATTATCTGAGTCTACACTGCCAGAAAATCCAGTTCAAATCAGATAATCTGGATATTATAATGCTGTGTAGAAGGGTCCTAAGGCAGCTATTTCTCTTAATTTTCTTGATTAACATTTGGGTATACACTGCACAATTACCGTAACTAACTTTGGGTTTCTACAGTCAGAATTACAGCAGTTTGATACCAGTTTCACTGCTACACCTTGAAATGTTGCATTTGTAGTTTGGAGAAGTACTTTAAATGCTCTGATAGAGAATTCTTAAACAATTCTTAAACATTTCAATCCAGGATTCCATAGGATGGACTCACAACAATTAAAGTGGTGTCAAATTGCTATATAGTCGACCCTCCACATTAGCTGGAGCTTGATGGACAGGCCTACTGTGAAAGTAAAAAACCATGAATACCATAACTGGTGGTGTTTTGGGGTTTTTTTTTTATCTGAGAGAACATTTCTCTAGGAATTTATAGGTCTTTTAGTGTAACTATGATCAACTTCCACTGGAAGGTGGCCACAGAATTGCTTTGGAGGACTAAGAGATTAAATCAAATCTGTGAATAATCAAATCTGCAAAAATCATAGCCGCAAATGTGGAGGGAGAGCTGTAATTCAGGGGATGTACCTGTTTGGCAATACTTGAGCATCAGAACACTGTTTTTCCTCCCCAAACAGGCGACTGGTCAAACTTTAAAGTCCTAATACTACTGAGTACCTGGTGTGTCCTGAAGCAAAGCATAGCCATTCATGTTCCAGATGGACCTGCTGGTTGTCCTCCAAAGAGGAGCTAGAGGTGCATCACACTCCGAGGGGAACATTTGTCCAGCCAGGCGCACTGGGCTTGTTGTGAGCGGGGAGCCATGTTCTCTCTGACGAAGCAAAAGAGAAACCCTCTGGGTTGCAGGCTGCAGGGAGAAGCTAATCCCCTTTAATTCCAGTCACAATGAGATTTGATTGGAAGCAGGAGTTCATGCAGCTGGGTTACAGGCTTGAAGGAGTTCTGCAGAATGCTGCAGCAGGTTTTATAGAGCTGCCCTAGAAGAGCCATATAGTCCCAGGACAAGGCTATTGGGAAAGTTGGGATGTTGTGTGGTTTCCAGGCTGTATGGCCATGTTCTAGTAGCATTTTCTCCTGATGTTTCACCTGCATCTGTGGCAGACATCTTCAGAGGATCTGGGAAAGTTGCTTGTTGGAGAACAACTTCAACAGTGCCTCAACTTTTCTATTTCCCCCCTCCCAAAGGAACTTTCTCAAGCTCTATCTAGGTCTGATCAGGCACTTATCTAAACGTGTGTGTGTGTATGTATGCATGTCCATTACTTAACATGTAAAGTGTGTGCATGCGTGCCTATGTACTTGCAAGTGTACTAGGAATGCGTACATCATGGAGACACTCAGAAAAGGATTAAATCAGAAATGGATTAAATTATGCATTTCAGATTTTTTTATCACAGCTATACTGTTACAACATTCCTGCAAAGTGACTTAATGGTATACCATCTGTATTTAATTTAATTTTTGTAAGCTTGAAGTGTTCCCATTCTGGGGGGAAGACAGGATAGAAGCAAAAACAGAAATATCTCTAGATAGGGAGAAGGTGTTTTCTAGAAGCTATAGTCCAACTAAGCAATATTTCCATATTCAGTGTCTGGTGTCCTTTATTGGGTGGAGAACTGAAATGGTTGTGATGGTATTTCCTTGCTTGCTTTTGAGCCAGAGGGCTTTGGCTGAACTCTCTAAGCAAGGCTAAATCCAGAGTGAGCTTTACCACTAGGTGGCTACATAGGACAGCAAAGCACAATCCAGGAAAATAAAGCACTGCATAAACAAAGCCCAAAAGACCCCATCACTAGACTTGGGCAACTGGAGGCCTATGTCTTCTGCTGCTTTTATGTTCATTTCTGGAACCAAAGCATCTTTTTGATTTCAAACCTGGAAACTTCTTTGGACTGCCCAGAGCTTATCTAGAGCGAGAGCCTGAGTTGGACAACTTTTGCTTTGCACAGGGTGTTTGGTGTATGGGGAAAGGCCTTACAAGTTATTTTTTCAGACTATAGTCTCCTAGGATCCCTAGCAAGCATGATGGTTGACTCTTCTGGCTGGAAGATTCAGCGAGTTCTCGCCAAAAAGGAAGAGAATGTTTGTTATCTCCTGTTTCAATATAAAGATGAAACTGTCTGAGAGTTTTATCCAAGACAGTGATGATTTGTGTTGTTATTGCTACATCCGTTTCAGAGAACTGGAGATTAAATAGGCAAGGTAATCTGTCATTGAGTCAGCTTTGGTTGGAAAAGAGCTTTCAAGCTTTAAATGTCACAGACCTAAATTCTGGTAAAGTGAAAAGATTAAAGCTGATCCCTGGTTTTCATCTGATTCAAAGATCATTTAATGATCCAGGAAGGCATATGTTGTCATAGTCAATTTTTGCTTTAGAAGTCATTTGCTGCTGCTGGGAAGCTATTCTTATGTGGAACTTTCTTCAAAGATGGGTCAGAAATCTATCATCTTACTGGGAATATAGCCCACTCCTGAAAATTCTGGACTAGTTCACCAGTGGGAGCTGTGCCCCCAGATAATGAATCTCTCAGTGAGAAATCTCCAAGGGACATATAGGAGGCAGCAACCGGATTTAAAGTGGATTTATGTTCTAGTTTGATGAGACAATAAGACTATTTGCTTTTCCATCCTGGACCTTTCTGAGTCTTGAAAAATCTTTTCTTTAAGCTTGGAAGTGGCCAGATGTTGTTGAACTACATTTCCTGACAGCCCTTGTCAGCATGACTGATCATGGAGAATGCAGGAAATTGCAGTCCAACAACATTTGGAGGGCTGCATGACTCCCTGTCCTGGTGTATAGGATCAAAGTTTTAATAAGCAGAAGAGTTTGCATTCAGAGTATATAGACAACAGAGCACGTCAGGTGAATATATTTGAAAAAGCTATTCCATCATCATGAACCAGCATGATGTAGTGCTTTGAGTATTGGCCTTGGACTCTTGGAAGCCAGTGTTCAAATTCCTACTCAACCATGGAAATCCACTGGGCAAGTTACAATCTTTCAGGTTCAGAGGAAGTCAGTAGCAAGCATCTTAGGAACAAATCTTGCCAAGAAAACCTTGTGACCTAGGCTATAAGGCAGAAATGATGTCAAAGTACACAACAACAGCAGCAGCAGCAACGTTCAAATGGGAGAAGGCAATTCCTTCAGATATCTAGATCCTGTGACATAGGAGGTTAAGAACTTCTGAGGAAGCCCTGCTCTTGGTCCCACCTCCTTCAGAGGTGTGGTTGGTGGGGACGAGAGACAAAGCTTTCTCAGTGGTGGCTCCTTGGCTATGGAACTCCCTCCTCAGCGATATCAGATCAGCTCCCTCTCTCCTGGCCTTTAAAAAGAAAGTGAAAACATGGCTATGGTAGCAAGCCTTCAGTCAGTAATCTAGTGCAATAAGTGGATATGGAATATGTTCAATTACAACTGGAATGACCCTTGGACTACAATTTTGGATTGTGTGGTTTTAATAATTGGTTTAATGTTTAGATGCTTTTAATTCTATGTTTTAATGTAAATGTTTATTTTCTTATTATGTCTGTTTGTATGGCATCAAATTGTTGCCTACTAGGAAAGCTGCTCTGAGTTCCCTTTGGGGCGAGAAGGGCAGGGTGTAAATAAATAGTCCTATTTTAGAGCATTTTAGAGTCCCGTGGCAGCACAAATGTTTGTAGATAGACTTCTTGTAATGTATGTCACATGAAAATCAATTTAGGTTGGAAATATGGATAGAGCTGTGGAAATACTACTTCATAATTTACCTAAACATGGAAGACAACAAAATCACTCCTCCCAAATCACAAAGCATTGGAACGGATTTGTCAGTATTACTCTCGCCATCTCTGCGTGTGGAAAATAGATGGGCATCTTTTCTTGTTTGCCCATTTTAGATTATCAATGAATTTTGGAGTGTTAAATATTCATGTTCAGTTAAACACAATTAAAAATAAATGAAAGAAACCTTTCTCTCAGTCATTTGCTATACACATGCCTGCATGCTGAATTTTGGTCTTCATTCTGAGTGCATTGTATATGTTGTAAGGAAGCAATCTCTCATTGGGAGAACAAACCAATCTTGTTAAGGCTTTGAGGTTTTAATGACCTGATCTTACAGTTTAGATCAGTGGTTCTCAACCTTTGGTCTTCCAGCCGTTTGGACTTCAACTTGCAGAAGCCTTAGCCAGTTTGGCCAATTGTCAGGAATTCTGGATGCTGGAGTCCAAAACAGCTGGAACACCAACATTTGGGAACCACTGCTTTAAATCATTTCAAATGATTTCTTCTTCTCATTCAATTTTATCTGCGCACAATAAAAGTATTCTCTCCCTCTCTCTCTCTCTCTCATACACAAAGGGGGGCACAGTCTGCAATGGTCAACTATGGGAAAATCTTTGTATCTTAGAAGTGGGGGGGGGAGGGCAGAAGGAAGGAAGAAAAATAAGTGGTCTAACTTTCTTTGTAAAGAGCTGGAACTACTGTAGTAAACATCTAGTGATGTTTTGTCTGTAGAATTCCTCTTTCCACATCCTCAGAATTTCCCACTGCTGCATTTACATTGTGTATTTTGTTGCTGCCCCCCTCCCCTACTTTGAAGGGAGCTGGGTGGGGTGGGGTATGGGAAGTGTTTGCCAATTAAAAGGCATGGACACTTCCCTTTTGTGGTGATATACAATAATACTTGCAGGAGATAAGGCACTTCCCTTCTTACTTATTGGAAAACATTTTGTTCAATGGTCTAGGGATGTAATAACTCGCCAGAGCTTGTGTGTATTTTTACCGTATGTGTGTATGCACGCCTTCAAGTCACATGTTAACTTATGATGACCCTATTTCATAGGGTTTTCTTAGGCAAGAAATACTTATAGATTTATTTATCGTGTCATCCGCAACCAGAACATTGTATTACATTTCTAACAGAACAAAACAAACAATACTTATAGATGAAGTTGCAAGTAAGTGTGGCACACGCCAAACTGTAGATTTAAAAAATGCCTATGTTTACATGGTCTACACAAGGGAAAAGAATGAGTAGCGTGTACTGAAATACTGATGGATCCACAATGGGCAGAATGGATGTGCCCCTTGTCCCTGTGAAAGTTTGGTAATTTATTAGTTATTATTTGACTTTCACAGTCTTCCAGGTAAAACTTGGGATCAGCAATATTTTAGGGTCTAGAAATATCCAACAGTCTAGAAATCAGTGTGATATCATCAAATAATGTGGCATGCTCCAAATAATGTGGCATGCTCTTTTGTAATTGTGCTATTGTGACCCTCTCAATTCTGACTTCATTCAGATGTTTTGTCAGGTGATTTGGAATTGCTACTAAACTATGTATTATCTATTAGCCAGCCACTGATATTACCTTTTCCTTGCAGGTGTCCCCATGAGGCAAGAGAATATATTTACAATAGCATTGTTACTGGTAGAATCTCCCAAACAAAATAGGCATTTGTGCAGGGGCCAGGCAGATAAAAAATGGACAATGGGATGCTCAGAATTTTTTTGCTAGGCAATCTGAGCAGGATAATGTGAAATTACTGAAAAGCCAACCACAACTAAAGATATAGACAGCAGCAGAAACAGATTATTAATGGAACATATTTGCTGTTTTTCATTGATGTTCTTTTTCAGACACTCCATGTACCAAGAGAGAAGAAAGCCAGCTTTTCAAAACTTAACCTGGTGAAACATCTTTTGCTTTTATTTATTTATTTATTTATTTATTTTGCTTGTATACTGCAATTTCTCAGCCTTGTAGGCGACTCTACACGGTTTACAACGCGGTTACCACACATTCTGTACTAAGACTATATGAGAAAGGCAGGCAGGAAGAAACCACACCAAGGTCAACAGAGAATACCCACAAATGAGGCCCAGCACGGTAGCTGTATTATGAAGCTGTAACTTCCCTAAACATTTACATTAGCATTGCAATACCTAGAAGGATTCTATTGAGCCCAATCTAACACAGGGAAATATCTTTGTAGTCTGTAAAGTACCATAGGTATCTCTTGTTCTTACCACATTTGAAATCTGACAAATACCACAGTTCACCTGCATGCCCCCTTTCTGCTCCATTGATAAAGATAGGTATGTGCATTGCTCTGCCAACAAAGAATCTTGTGGCACA